AAAAAAAAAAAAACAACAACAACAACAACAAATTGCTCATTTGTCAATTTCGTCTTCAACAAAAAGCTTTTCTAGTATACCAAATATAAACTATAAATAAAACATCAAATAAATTTTGAAAACAAAAATACCAAACATCCATTCACAAAATGTACTCAACAATTAAAAATTAACACAAATAAAAACAAAAAAAAACCCATTGATATACATAATTATGAGAAATATCCAAAACAACATAAACAATAATCAACCAGAAAACAACAAATTTGCTCATTTGTCAATAAAATAAATAAATAAATAAATAAATCTAATACACCAAACATAAACTACGAATAAACATCTAATATACATTGAAATAGATCGTGAAAACCTTCTAATATACCAAACATAAATTATGAATAAACATTAAATAAACAATGAAATAGATCCTATTAGAAGTATTAGTATGTCGCCGCTGCTCACAAGCAAACTGCCGAAGGGTCATTGAGATTGTGCCGACGGGACATATACTAAAAATATACTGTATATAAACGCAACATATACTGTCGACATTGTCGGGTCGTTGAGATTGTCAAAGATTATTTCTTCTTTTTTTGTTTCAACCTCTGCTCGTTAATGTTGACTACGCTCATATCTTCTTCAACTTTGTCACTCCCAATTGGATTGTCGTCTTTAACGATAAAATCGAGGTCCTCTGTGGCGTCTTTCGAATAATTTGGAGTTCTTTAATTTTGGCTGTCTCCAGCTCATATTTTGTTGAATTCCGCCATAGTCGAACTGAAAATCTTCGATTTCACAGCGAATTTTACCCGTATTCTTTTCGTAACCCCCTACTTTCATTTCTTCTCGAAATTTAGTTTTTTATTTTCTAAACCATGTTTCCTACGCTTTTCGCTTGGAGATGTCGAAGGCGTAAACTCGACCGCACTTGTGGAGTCTCGTCGGCGCCGCTCGATGAGTTCAAACCAACCTCCGACGCCCACGGACGAGTCGGAAGAAGAATCAATTTCAATCCATAAATCACACACAATCTGGGTCCTTCCTTAATTAAAAGATAAGTTGACTTAAATTTGAATTCTAATATATGTTCAAATATGTTGGGAGTGATTTTGTATCTTTGTAAATAAATATTAATTAGATGTAAATATGTAATACTACCTCCTATTTTTTTTAAATGTTATTTTGACTTTATCAACAATTAACTAAATAAATGACGTTTTGAATCTTTTGTACATATTTTTCTATTATTACCCTCATCTGGTTAATAAATACATTACGTCTTTTCATATTCACTCTTCATCTTAGTAAGGATGCTTGGGTTAGGCCCAGGTCCGCATTCTCATATCCTGTTTAAATCTGAAACAAGGTTTTTTTAGGTCCAATCCTTTAGCTGAAACCAGTAGGACTATCCATGTAACATTTCTGAGTTGTAATGGAGGAAAAAAATAGAGAAAATATTAGAGGAAGTTCAATATTGAAATAGAAATTTGTGATAACTCAAGGAAAATTCATTCTCTATTATTCTTTTCAAACCATATTTTTCATGTTCTTTTTTTCTTTTTTGGAAAGCCATAGACAAGCAAGGGGGGAAAACAAAAAACAATCATCAAAGACTACCATACTCAATGGGATACCTTTGACATGGCCACCTCGATCTTCCGCAACAACTCGTATGCACCCTTTCTCGTCGACCCGCGGAGCAAGCAAACACCAAACCGCAACATCTTCTTACAATCATCTACCGAACCAGCCGACTCACAGTTCTTTAGAAGCTTCTGAACAAAAGGAACCATATCCGTCCTTGAGTCACACCGGCGGCAATAATACTCCGCATCCAGACCAATGCTCCCTCCAACTGTCCCTGCCATGTAAGCTCTCAAGGCACATTCGATGTGGCAGCTGTGTCCACAAGTGAACCCCTCGATTTTGGCCTCACATGTAATATAGCCCCATCCATTTAAACCTCTTTCAATCACTCTACGGCAAAGGATACAACAGCAGGCCCGGCAAAAGCCCGGTTCCTCGCAGCAAATATCACATGACATGACTTGTGGAATAGTCTCTTCTTGTGTATTTAAGCTGCTGCAAAATTTGTTGCCAGATTTGCAACGCGGTTCACCATCATCTTCCGTGATCTCAATGGGAGGTGTAAGCATCTCCTTGAAACCTACAAAATAAAACAAATGATGAAGTGGGAATAAAAGGATGTTCGACTGTGTGGAATGGTTTTTATAATGCCTTTGTCCAACATGAAAGGGATTGAAGTATTCAGAAAGTGATACACTAAAGTCAAATTCAAACCACTTGTTTGGCAACTCAGATCAATAAAACAATGTCATCACTCAGTTTTCAAATTCATCACTAGATGACTTGAACCCCATCCTAAACCTAGTTATATGAAATTCATAGTATCTATTTTATATACTACAAAAATATATATAGATTTAACACCGAGGTATTCCCTCTCTTACATACACTAGGCACAATCCACAAAATTACATTTCATACACTCACATTTGACAGTATCTTAATTAATCTTGTCTGGGTTTCTAAGCATACCTATCTGTATATAAAGAAAAAATAATAAACAACCCACATCAGAGAAACCTGTGAGATAGTCAGAATAAGAGAATGATCTACTATTTGGACATTTATGCCGTTTTCCAACTTGAGATAAAGCACAGGTAGTTAAACTATGATTTCAAATATACATTGATTTTTCTGATTATTTTGTCTAGAGTTTGAAGTAAGCTTGATATGATAAACTTAAGAATTAAATAGGTTTACCTAATGTATCTTATGATTCCGTATCATCATAATGTAACAAGTGACCTTTCAATAGAAATAGTGTGTGGCTAAAACGAAGGTTAACTGGACCATAAGCTCACATGACATAAAATCAATTTAACTATCTTACCAAATGATATAATAGGTTCACGACATTAAACTATTCAACTCGTTTTAGCGTTACAGATTATTCATATCTAGTTAAGCATAATTTGCTCTGTACAAGGAACTAGCCATCTCAAACCCTCTAGAAACAGAGGCACAAAGGTCACTGAATTTCTGACTGCAGTTTATTGAGAGAGAGAGAGAGAGAGGGTTAGGATCGGTTCATTAACCACAAAGTAACCTTAAAAAAGATAACTAACCTTTCTTCAGTGCCCTCGAAGGGACCTTCCAACTAAAAGAGGCAAAAAATTGGTCAATATCTGTATCAGGGAATTTCTTCCGAACAAATTGTTCTAGTGAGAGTCTGCTAGCGAAGCATTTTTTAGGTCCAGGCTGGCGCATACGGCGGGGCAGGTACAAATATCTATCCAAAAAGAAGCCAGAATTAGCAATTCGCTTCCCTACTTTCCAACTCCACTTATCACCAGGATTAGGAAAATCCTCAGGAGCATAAGGGAGGCCTTCACCCGAATCATTAGCAGAAACAGGATACAGAGTGCCATTTTCATGGAATCCGCATGGACTAGCTCTACTTCCTCGTGGAACTACACCATCAATGTCCATGGGATCCTTTTGTGACTTGGAATCCATCATGTTCTGCATGACATGTAACACCTGTCAAATGATGTTTGAAAAAAATCGAGTACTTTCAAAAATATGATCTGTCAGCCATTCGTGTAAAGAAATTCAAAATTTCAGAAAGGCATATTGCATATATAGTCAGTCCAGTATCCCACCAAATGGAAAAACACACTTTTCTAGTTCCTTGTCTTAAATAAACAACAGAATTTACTACAATTAAAGGAATTCAATTAAAGTAGTTCGGTTTATTATGTTCTTTGAATTAAAGTGTAACTTATACATGCAAGTGCTCATTATAACTATTCTCTATGATGAATTCCCCAATCTATTTACAACGGCGTAAAAGGTGTACTTCCAATTAGACCCAATTAATACATTTGATCCTTGAAGAACACTATATATATATTTTAAGGCTTACCTGTAACACGAGCAGTTTACCTAACCTTATTCAATAAGGTGACTGTAAATCTAAATTGTAATACAAAATGTTTCAAAAAATGGAGTTTGTAAACTAAATATAAGGACTTCAGGAATATCTCTATAATAAATCTTCACGTAAACTGACATGTGCAACAATACAATTCATTTGGTATAATCAAATTGTGCATCAAGGAGTATGTTGGTAAGTTTACATCAATGGATGTGTACTTGCATAAAGTGAGATTTTGACAGTTTGGTACGAACAGATGAGTAACAAGGAAGTGTAAATTGAGAGACTAAAAGTGCTTTCACTCTGAAGTTGAGTAACTTATAACCGACGAATAATTTACAAATGTGTTTCCTATCGCATAATGCAAGGGAATTTCTGGAGATCAAGTATGCATTTCACCCCCACATTATGCAAATAACAACAATATGCTCGAATCACTGAACACAGAAAAACGAAACAAAATAATTTTAAAAGATTGGAAGTTACGGCATTGGGAAGATTTCAAGAACAGACACACCACAGTTCACACATGCATATCTCACTAAAGTACGTGAGAACTCGGATAACAAGACCCAACCAAAACAAAAGTGATCGTGTAAAAATAGAACATACATAACAAAAACTCATTAATATGTTTCATAGTGAATCAAACGATACTATTATCGAACTCATAATGGACTACTCGTGATAAGAAAAGGCAAATGTAATTTCTTCAGCTAACATAAACATCCAACACTTCCACTTCCGGAATGAGCAATAACGAGCTCAAGCTCTGCTCATAAACTGATCAATCCTAAGTTAAACTTGACACAACAAAAATTAGACTAGGTTAGACAAGTCACAAGTGAACTTAAATCTTGTTTATACCAATCAGCCAGTTCTACATTTACAAATAAATAAATAAATAATTAAATAAAATAAAATAAAAATTCTCAATCAATTTACTCAGAAGAGTAGGTACAGCCGGACGAAAAAACACTAAAAAACGAAAAAAAAATAAAAATACACTTCCCAATCAATTTACTCAGAAGATTAGGTACAGACGGACGACTTGCAACCATGCACCTCATGAACAAAAAAATGCATACATTACCTCAAACACGCTGAAAGAAAGTGAAACCAACAGAGTTAGTTAGGGTTTCCGATTCTGAAAGCAATCACATCCCCTGCACCTTTAGGGAAAAAATGGACGACTGGAAGAAAGTATCATTCAACCAGAGAAAAATGGAAGAAAGTAGCAATTGATTTCAGACGTCAGCAGACAAATTCGGCCGCTCGGGAAATTCCTCAAAAAGGTTGGAAAGACAAACTGAAAACTGGTTCAAAATATAACGAGACAGAGAGGGCACCAGGCACCTTCAGGTTTCAACTCTTAACAGAAATCATATCAAGATATTTGAAGACGTAATAAGTATTTGATAGAAACAAGAAAGTTGGAAACTAATGAGAGAAACACGTGATTGTTTTCAGAATTTGATACTCAATTCAGATACCCTAAAGTAGATGTGGTTAACTCATATTTATGTTTGAATGAAGGTTCAGACCCAAAACCGCCCAAATTATTGGTTCAATATTCTAAATATTAAACGGGTTGAATTGATATTTAATTTATTAATATTTTTAAATATATATATATATATATAATACTTTATGTAATAAATTTAACATATAGAAAATATAAAATAAATATTTGGAATATTTTAAATATCAAATGTTTAAACAAATTTATAAATAATATATACATATCATATCAATTATATTTAACATGTATTACTATTTATACTATGATATTATTAAATATACCAACTTCTTAAAATGTTTTTCAATGGGCTAACTTTGTGCTGGTTTTGATTGGTTCAAGCTGTTGTTCACAGTTTCTTGATCAATTCTTCAACGACAGATTTATTCTAGCAAATTAGACTAATCGATTCCCGATCCAATTGATAGAGCCAGCAGGCTTGATTTGGTTTAGAAAATAGTGGTGGGTTCACAAGTTCACAAGCCTTCGATGATTCAAGCCCAGGTCGGATCAATATCACATATAGGAACTTAAAACATAGTTATTAACATAAATTAGTAGAACACCTAAATAGTGTGTTATTAAATGAGAAAACTATCTCATGAACTAACTAAAACATAAAATATTGCATATATACTAATATTTTATTTGCAAATATATAAAATCTGACACAAATATCTACATACATACGAGAATATGCATAAGTTTTACTTACATTGTTTAAAGATAATTATTAAGATGGTTGGATGAAATTGACAACTGCCCTAATTTAATGAAATTTTATTTTTGTAACTTCCTAAAAACTTTAATTTCTCTCTCTCTTAAGAAAAACCTCCACGCCTCACGCCATCTTCATTCTTCTTTTTTTTTTTTATTATTATTTTTATTTATTTATTTATTTATTTTTATCCATGACGCTATTATCACAACACTTCAGTGTATTTCTTTTACTCTATTCCTCTTCAACGAGCAAAAAACTCTAGCACAGAAAATGGTAAAACTTCATGCCCCATCCACCGTCGATAGCACTGGCCCCCCACACTAGTAAAGGAGACGGTCCTCCACGCCACCAGCTCCGAACGTCCGACGTCGTTTCTGCTCACACAGGCTCGAATAATGAATCGTCGTTGATGGAGGAAAGTTCATTTTGATCACTCAACTCGACTGTCGAGAACCATAAGTGCATGCTTGGATACAAATTTTTCTAAAATAATCCAATCATTTTTAATCAAACGTTTTTTTAAATCAATCTTAACTCAACTTCATTATCCTTAATATTATCAATATAACTAAATAATACCACTCAATCATTCTTACACATTACATCAACTTTAATTCACTATTTATCCACTCACATAATTTTAGCTAACCATCACTTGACATCTTTTCTCTCCTACTTTTACATCAAATCAATCTTAATTATTTTATTTTAATATAAACTTAATGTCCCACTAACAACTAACCATAACACTTTTTCAAAATTAACTATACCAAACAAAAAAATCCAAACAAAACCATAGCATCTTATATCCAAGCATTTTAACTCCATCCTCAACTCGACTGCCGAGAACCTTAAGTGCCTATCATTGAGGACGAGGTTCGGGATTCCGTTGTGCCGTTAGGTGCAGCGTTAGGCTGCAGACTCGCAGAGACGACCACAGCTACGATCGCCTTCGTCGTCCTCAACTTCTTAGGGGATGGAGCGGTGTGCGGTAGTTCGGGTGGAGACGAGAATCTTGACGTCCAATTCATATATTAATGATGTCTTAGTCTTGAAAAAAAAAAATCACATGTTTTGATTTATTCATTTATGTAGAAGATTGCAATGTTTATTTGACGTTTATTAATAGTTTGTATTTGATATATGACATAAATTTTTTAGCCACATCGCGAGATCTAATAACATAAACATGTTATAAATGTTATAACATTTATCTAACCCCAATTGTGATGTTTGGATTTTGTTCATATTTTATACTTATTTTTATACCAACGATAACATTGATATGTAAAACACTCCATAAGTGCTATTCAAGATGTTTTTAAAAAAAAATTAAAAACTATATATAGTATATTATAATTTTTTGTTCGATCAATCATAATTCGATTTATACTTGATTTATAATAGCATTAAATCTTGCAAAATATTTTATATAATATTTCATATAGTTAGATGATATCAAAATCTACACTTCATTCTAAAAGATCATGGTCTTGTTTGGCGATCAGCGGATAGCGGATAGCAGATTGTATCAGCGGATAGTGGATAGCGGATTATATTAGCTGGTTTGACCAGCAGATTGCATTAGCGGTTTTTAAATAAGTGTTTGGTAAATAGCTGAAAGCTTATAGCTGTTTGACATTACAAAATGACCAATAAGAATATTTTATTATTTAGGGTGTATTTTTTTTTAATAATAATATATTAAAACATTTAATATTCTTTAGTTGGTAATAATAATATATTAAAACATTTTTTTAATAATAATATATTAAAACATTTATAAATATATTATTTTTTTCTTTAAATTGTCTAAAACTTGATGAAGAAGTTATGAATTTTACATTTTTCTAGATAAATTAATCATATGGATGACATATTATTATTTATTAGCACCATAAACCAATATAGATTTTAAAATAAATAATACAAATTAAAAAGTTCCAAGTAAAAAGTTTTTTTGTGAATCCTCTATCCCCAAAAAGCTCCTCTAATGAGCTTTTTCTAAATTAGAGGTTTGAGCCCAAAAAGCTTATCAAGTAAGTTATTTACCAAACAGACTCAATAGCGGATTTGACGGGTCAAACCTCTCAATTAAGTCCAATCCGCTAATTTACCTTCAATCCGCTATCTATCAAACGGGGCCCATGTTATTTATTTTCAGAATAATTTTTTTATTGGGCGATAAGCCATATAATTGAGCCTCTCTCGTCTATCTCGCCCAAGAAAAAAAGCTACAGTAAACCCTTAATTCTCATCACTGCCTCCTCCGGTTGCACGCTTCGACGTCGATCGGATCGAGCCGCTCTCCACGTCTAGCGTCGACGACCGCTCTCTGTGGTAGAGTCTCGCCGCACTCTCCGATTGTCTACTTGTTGGTGGAGGGTTCGGCGGCTGTCGAGGCATGGGATTTCGGCTGACTCTGACCTTCTCCGGTGAGTTGGCCAAGGTGGGTTGTGGCCTTCTTTCCCCTGTTTGATTCTGCTGCCCCTGTGCTGGGTTTGTTGATTTTGGTTAGAGCGGGCAGCGTGAATTGGGTGTTGGGCCGAGGGTGGCTTTGGGCCAGCGGGGTTAGGGTCCAGCTAAGGAGTTTAGTTCGACGGAGGGTCCAGCTAGTCAGAGTTTTTGGGTTCTTATCTTGGGCTGGGTTACATTCCTTTTGGCGGGTTGTCTCTAGGTGTTGGTCCATCGTCTGTGTGGCTGTTTGTCTGCAATTGGAGGAGGAGAGCTTTATTCTACTACTTCTGGTGTTTGCGTGTTGTTGTTTTTCCTTTAGTAGCCTTGCTGGTTGTTTTTGTTTATTCTTCCTCCTTGAAGCTTGATTCTCACGCAAATACTTAGGTGTACCTAGGCACACGGTAGTAGCACTGTGATTCTCACCCCGTGTGGGAGTGTACAGTTTTGTTTGTGCTAGCCTAGTTTTGTTGTCTACTTTTTGTAGGCCTCGTGTGATTTGGTTAGATGGCTGTTTGGCTAATTCTAGATATATTTTAATTGTACTTATGTGTTTTTATCTATAAAATCTATCTTTTTTTTTAAAAAAAAAAAAAAGACATATAATTGATTAAGTAAAAAAAGATCCATGTTTACTTTAAAACCATAAGTATCTGACTTTAGCCTTGGATTATCCACATCGTGGTTCGCCCAAATATTTTTTTGTAGGTTAATTCAGATGGTGATTTAAGACCAGACTGTTCAGAAAATTTTTTATAGTAGATGCATTCGAATACACAATACGCGTTAGAATAACCAAATGCATAAAAACTTATTTTCACCAATGCAGATGTATTTATTTTCACTATTGCTCCTTAGTTCAAATTATTTCTCTTATTCGTTAACGAGCATAAACTTAACAAATATACAATTGTGATAAAATGATTAAAATAAGTACTAATGATTATAATTTAAAAATAGTAAGGTTGTTGTTACCTAACTTTTCCAAGAGATATTCATACTTTTAAACTAATATGACACACTCAAAAAATAATATCAACAAACTATGACATTTTAAAACATAAAGTATGCATTCCCAGGTACAATATGTCGAATCGTCTATGTAGATGGAAATTAGGCATCTTGCTATTTGCTATCCTCTTTTTTATGGAGACATAAATCTTGGGACTACATAGAATATTTCAAACCTACGTTTCCTTGTAAATAATCGTCACGTATGATGATCAATTGCTCGGCCACCTATACAATAAAAGATATACAAGGGAAAACAACACAAAAAGGTTAATAAGCATAGTGTAAACTAATTTTCCAGTTAATATTTGGCCCTTTACTTATTACAATATGCAATGCCTTATGCCTCAAAATAATTTTCACTTACATAGAAAACTTGCATAATTGGAGTATAAGAATTCTAAAAACATTCAAAGTAATCTAAACATTGCATTATAAGTTGTTATAGTAGAGTTACATGTTGTTATTCATGTATCTCGGAGATCATTTTCCATAACTATAGACATTTATTAGGGCAATCTTGTCTTACGGAAAAAAGCTTATCCAATATGTGCTCCTACTTCATATTTTATTTTCTTTCGTTGTTCAAGTTTTAGGATTCATTATTCATTCTCCATTTTTCAGAAAACTAAGTGAGTGCTTCAATCACTCGACAATCTTGGATTCCCAATAGAAAATGAAATTTGTAAGTTACAAAGTTCACTTCATTGGGACATTTCTTTTTTCTTTTTTCATGGCCATAGGAATAACCATTTTCAACTCTCAAGTATTTTCAAATATAAGCCTTAATATATTAGGAGATGCATGTAATATGATAGTAATATATTTAACAACTTATGACCTCCTCAATACTGCCATCCTCAATCTCTGTGTTGAAAGTAAGCAACAATCTTTCATGCAACAAAGTCTCCAAATCCTCTGTTTGAAGTTGTGCTGCAGAAATAGAATCATATGTTAAAACTATCATAACGTAAATTTTAACTAACTTTGATTTTCTCAAATAAAATAAAATATNAAAAAAAAAAAAAAAAAAAAAAAAGTAAAAAACAATTTACCTTTACAATGTAAGAGCCAAACGAGTATATCAGATGCAAGTTGATTGTATTTGGTAATGGAGTCATGGCCACCCCATTCATTATGGACAGCCATTTGAAGGGCAGTCCATTTAGACAACACCCCTGAAATTCTTTCTTGAAAGCCAGATATGTTGCAACTATATTCCATAGTAACTATTATTTGCCTATTTTATTAATTCTTTCTCTCATGTCCCTCTCTCTCTCTCTCTCTCTCTCTCTCTCTCTTGAAGAGGAAAAAGTCAAAGAAGAGAGAGATTAGTACTATCAAGAAGTTTTGGGTGGAATATATGAGGAATCATGATTTGAAGCAAAAGGGAAGGAATGGCACGGAAAGTTGGGATCTAAAGTATATATGCAAAATTTACTTGTTTAATTTTCATTTTTGTAACCCATGTTTCATCTTAGCCTCTTTAGATGTTGAGAATTTCATATACAAATCACATTTGGTGCATTCCACTATTTGAACAACAATTAACAAAATCTCAAACATTTAGAACAAAAATAAAAATAAAAATAAAAATAAAATCCAAGGAAGTATAATAATTAAAAATATCAAATGCACATCTCTTCATCATTGATTGGAGCTTTGTATCACAACAATCGGCTAATAAAGTTTCCAGCATTGATTTCCATGAAAAAAATTATCTTTCGATTGGTGGAAATCCAAAATTTCAATGACAATTAACGTAATATCAAACAACTGGATTTTTACAAAACGAAATATATTCGCTGATGATATAGTTTTTTTACAAAAACCAATTGTACATCGTGATCATCAATTTAAGTTTTGTCTCATCGGCAATTGGCCAACAAGGTTTCTAGTTTTTATTTCTATGTAAAACTTCACCGTTCCAGAATTTTGATTGACAATGAAGAAAAAATTTTTGGCTCTTCGGAAGATATATTTTGATATGCATTAAGGGCTAGATTTTCCGTCAAACACCAATCAATTATAAAAAAGAACTAAGAGCATCCACAATGCTTTGGTTCAATCTCAAAAAATTACATGTCACATAAGAAATAGACTCAGTCTAAAAAAATATATTCTTCATTTCAAATAAAAGTAGACTATATCCCGCTGATGTGGCAACCAGAAAAAGAAGTCATTCCTCATTCACTACAAAATCACATACTAATCCCTACGCTCAATTGGGCTTGAAGATAAAGCTACAAACTTGTTTGCACGGGAATTGATAAGATTTCCTTTTTACAACCCAAGCTCAAATGGCTGAAGAGAAAAAAGAACTTGTTCGCAGGGAAGGAAACAGATTTTTTTGTACGCATTTAATATTATATTTTTATTGGTGATTAAATATTTTAGACTTAGTATATTTTTTTTGCATTGGACAGATTTTGAGTTTTTTAGCTTGAGTTTGTCCATGTCATTGTAGACTTAAGTCTATTTATTTGATACATATGCAAAAAGAGACTCAAAGCATTGTGAGTGCTCTTACACCCGAGTAGAGACCTATTCTCTTTGCATTGGAGTAGATTTTATTAACTTTACATATTTTTATTCGTGTCATCTAAGACTTGTATTTACTTGCCACATAAGCAAAACTAGACTCAATGCATTGAAGATTGAAAATACCAAAATGCATTGAAGACTAGACCCAAGGCATTGAAGACTAGACCCAATGCATTGAAGACTTGTTTAGAATACCAAAATTAATTAAGTTGAAAATTGAGATATGCCTAAAGGAAAAGTATGTAAATTGTGGTTATTAAAATTGATACTTTCTAAAATTCCCCAGCTTGAGAAACTTTTTATATTTAAATAATTCACGAGCTCATTAATTCTAGAATTTTAGGATTACGCCATTAAAGAAATCCACAACATCTATACTTATATTAAAGAGAGTCCTATTTACCAAATTTAGTAGCTAAAAAAGTCAACAACATTTATTGTCATTACTATTTCAATATTATATAATTTTATTTAATATTTATTTTTCAGTTACGATTTTTAAAAACAGATATGGTTAAATTCTCTCATCATTAATTACTTTCCATTAATTACAATTTATTTATTTATTATTTTCTTAGCAAAAACGGACCAACATTGATTGATTTCCATAAAATGTGAAAGTTGTTGCTTTATTTTTGTACAGAAAATTGGGCTTCATTATAGAAATTTGTTCAATTACACAATGAATTTGCTATGATACAATTATTTTTTATGGGAACTTTTTTTTTTTTTAACAGAAAAATATGGCATTTCAATAAGATTTTCGATTTTTTAAGACTGATTGTTATGCTATGAAATTGAACATTCCAATATACCTTAACAAAATATATACACGTGGTGTATACATCAGTTAATAGAAATATAGAATCCTCATATTTTTATATATATGTATGTAATTTTTCTATTACCAAATTTAATTGATAGTTGTTGTTGTTGTTGTTAATATCCGAGTTCGGCCCCTGTAAGGATACCGGTCTGAGAAGACCGGAAGTCGGGGGGTGGCCGGTCGGACCGAGGGGGCCGGTCACCAGGATTGTCTGTACGTGCCGAGCCGAGCAGAAGTCAAAGTCAATAGAAATGGCGGTCAGAGTTGGGCTCGGGGTCGGCACTTCGTTTCTCCATTCGCGAGGCCGGCACCATGACTTAATGCCGAGATCTATAAAGGACCCCGGTCGCCGGAGGACGGCCAGGGGCTGACATAGACCAGCTCGGCACCCTGCCAGTCTGGCCCTCATAGATATTAGGGACCCAGGGAATGGTTAAATAAGGCCACTTGTCAGCGAATGATTGCCGATGGGACGTCACAGACTAGTCTGCAGGACTAGGAAGTCTAGCTCGGCCGAGGAGCATGTCCGCATTAAAGACTAGACCCAAGACATTGAAGACTAGACCCAATGCATTAAAAACTTGGGTTTAGAATACCAAAATTAATTAAGTTGAAAATTGAGATATGCCTAAAGGAAAAGTATGTAAATTGTGGTTATTAAAATTGATACTTTCTAAAATTCCCCAGCTTCAGAAACTTTTTATATTTAAATAATTCACGAGCTCATTAATTCTAGAATTTTAATATTACGCCATTAAAGGAATCCACAACATTTATACTTATATTAAAGGGAGTCATATTTACTTTAGTAGCTAAAAAAGTCAACAGCATTTATTGTCATTACCATTTCCGTATTATATAATTTTATTTAATATTTATTTTTCTGTTACGATTTTTAAAAACATATATGGTCAAATTCTCTCATCATTAATTACTTTCCATTAATTACAATTTATTTATTTATTATTTTCTTAGCAAAAACGGACCAACATTAATTGATTTCCATAAAATGTGAAAGTTGTTGCTTTATTTTTGTACAGAAAATCGGGCTTCATTATAGAAATTTATTCAATTACACAATGAATTTGCTATGATATAATTATTTTTTATGAGAACTTTTTTTTTAACAGAAAAATATGGCATTTCAATAAGATTTTCGATTTTTTAAGACTGATTGTTATGCTATGAAATTGAACATTCCAATATACCTTAACAAAATATACACGTGGTGTATACATCAGTTAATAGAAATATAGAATCCTCATATTTTTATATATATGTATGTAATTTTTCTATTACCAAATTTAATTGATAGTTGTTGTGTTATGGGTTTTTCATAATTGTTACTTGGTTGTTGTGATATTTAGTTTGGTTGGTGTCGCAAAAATTCTAATATGTATATATAATAAGAATAATCATTACAATGCAAATTAGAAAAATATTGATATTAGAAGAGATTGAGTTCATGATTTTTCTTAAATCAAAGTTGTTTAATTAGTATGCAAATTTAAATTTTAAAAAAATAAATGTGTATATTTTGTACATTATTTTACACTATTTAATTTTAAATTTATTTACATATTTTAAATTGATTACTTATATAAATAATACCAACGTGCTTTAAATATATTTCATTACATAAAATAAAAAGAACAAGAAGACGTGCAACTTCTATAACTTTATAAATAATAATGACATTATATGGCAACAGAGTTTAAAAATTAACTATTATATAGTGAATAAGAATAAGTAAAATTGTTATTTTCTCTTATATCAAGGAATAAATATATATTATAAAATTAAATTTATATTAGTATAAATCTGTTAGTGAGATAATATATTAATTATTTTACAAGTTAGCCCTAACATGCTCACATTTAATGTTCTGACTAATAAAACAATGCTGACTAAAAGATGTGAAAAATAGATTACAATCCTATTTTTTTAGACTTAACGGTGAATAAAAGATGTGAAAAATGGATGATAACCCTTTTCAGACTTAAACGGGACTTAACGGTGATTAAAAGAGGTGGAAAATTGATGATAACCCTTTTCAGGCTTAAACGGGACTTAACGGTGATTAAAATAGGTGAAAAATGGATAATAACCCTTCTCAGACTTAAACGGACAGAGCCTGTGAAAATAATTTATTTAATATCTCTCTCATGTGCATCGCACGGGGTACGTACTAGTTTCACGAGAACATTGAAAGAAAAAGAAATGTCTTCATTATAGAATGTTTTTTAACACACTAAAATGATGTTATTCTTAACAGACTATGATGCTAGATACTCGGTACAAATGGATTGACTATGAAAGGATATATAAGGATCACTCATGAGTTTACCATAATCACTTGTACAAATGGCGGTTTCATACCTTAAACAATTTGAAGTTCAACAGATCGCTTCGTTTTGATTTCCGGAAGGATTTACATGAGTTAATCCTTCCTTTGCTTGCAATCGGATGTTTTAAGAGTACCGCGATTGAAATTGAGCGGAAGGATTTACATGAGCTAATCCTTCCTTTGCTTGCAATCGGATGTTTTAAGAGTACCGCGATTGAAATTGAGAGGACGGAGGTTTTGGGAGTAACAAAAATACTCGTATGCGCTTCTTTTTTTTAAATAAAAAATAATATCATATCTAATTTAACTGTTAGTTAACAGAGTTAATAATAAACCTTAATTGAAGAATTACAAGATAAATATGAACCCTCTGTTGAGAATATATAAAAACTGAGATCTTGTATTGAAAAAGATATTAATTAGAGCCTCAACATGATAGAATACCTAAAAATTGAGTCCTCTAATGGAATTTTCCCCAAGAATTTCATATTAGTTCAGCACAACATTGGAAAAAAACAAACATAACTTATTCGTTAGACTGAAGTTCCCAAAAGTTTTTGGAAAAAGAAAGGCTTCCATTAGTTCAACACAACATTGGAACAAAACAAAGTTATCGTGATAAACTCTTTCCAAACCCGGATGCCACACGATAAACCAATTTCCAGGTCAATCGAAATTCATTCATCATTTGAACTACATAGACAAACCTTTCGATTTGTTCAAACTTCAAACAGAGTCATTTGCAATCACATCAAATATCATACCATAAGGCAACAAAACATCACCATTCCAAACACCAATATATTGCCACAAATTAAACAGACAGTACAAAAGGAGGAGAACAAAACAAAAGAGAGAACAAACTTCAAAACTACTATGAATTAGCCCCAGCAGGACCAACAAGAACTCCCTGTGCATTTCCTTCCTTCTTACCACTTCCGTCCTTCATCTCACCATCACCCTTACGGATTCTGATTTTGTACTTGGCCTCGAATTCGGAAACTTCCATTTTCTTCCTCTCCAAAGCCTCAGTAAGCCGAGCAATCACCTCCTCCAAGCCCTCTTTATTCCTGAGGACAGCTGGCAAAACTTCTTTTATAGTTCTCTCAACAAGTACACCCCCAATCATGCGGTAGCACTTTCTGGATGGGTCAAGCGGCTGAATGGCATTGATCACTAGTGAATGCTCGCTAACCTCCATTTCTAGTTCGGTGATTTTGGAGTAAATTTGGTTAATTTCAGTTCTCATGGAAGCATATATGTTGGCAACGGCTTGCTCATTAAGTGGTTCCTTGCTGTCACCTTCGACTCGGGCCATGATGTTAAATCTGAAGATAAAAAAAAGAAGAATACACGGATTATGACCCCAAGCCTTCCCATAATAGCATTCTGNAAAAAAAGAAAAGAAAAAAAAAGGAAGGCTTGATATGAATGACAATTCATTTGCAAGAAAGACGATCAACCCATATTTCTCCTGCTGAAGAAAATGGAAGCTAATAAGAATTTCAAAAGCATGGGAAATTTTTCTTTTATGCTTCATTTGAACAAAATACTCGCATAAAAAATATGCATGGCTTCTAAGCCCGGCCAATTACCAAGAACATTAACCAGAGAATAATAGAACACAAAAAAACTGTGAAGATTCTCGAGTAGCCACTTCTCCTCTCTCAAGTATTTAGAAATCATTCTTGAAGGAAATCTCAGTTCAATGCTGTAAATACTTTTTCAAGATCATATGCACCAAAAATATGATGGTCATGTTTTGAATGTTAAACCACCAATAAGTGAAAATTTGAATCTCATATAGGCCCACTGGAACCGACCATCATTCCTAAGAAAAAGGAAAATTAAGAGATAACAATCTGACCCACTCCGAGCATGAATAAACAAAACAATAGGCAATAGCCAAGGAAAACATCAAATTCCAATGTCTGTCACTAGATGGACTTGCATCTAATGAGAAGAGACGAAAAAAGAAGAACTCTGATTCTACAAACACCACACACAGCAATTTTGAGACTAAATTACCTTAATTTTGACCAACAGAAAAGCTTCAGTGAAAC